ACTTGCCCTGGGGAAGGTGATGGAGTGGGGCTGGCCCTGGGGACGTGTGTCAGCACCATCCCACCCATGCAACTCTCTTCCTGCAGCTCCCACCATCCCTGGGAGGAAGCTGGAGGCCGGGGAGGCTCGGGGTGTCCGTGGCTGTGGGGGGACACTGTGGGCTGGGACAGCCCCGGAACTGTGTTGTGACACTGTCACCTCCAGGCACACCTGGGGTGGGGTGAATCCTGATGGGGTGTGGAGCTGTTATTTGGGGAAGGGGCAGGAGCGGCTGCCCACGTCCCCTCTGCCATGTCCTAACCTTGTCCCCACACCCCGGGGTCGGGGACAGAGAACAATGCAGAGCTCCACGGGGCCCTCAACACCTCACACGCAGCACGGGAAATGAGTGGCTCTTCCCATGGGGAATACCCGGGGGGCCCAGTGGGGGGCTGGGGGGGCCTGGCCGGACCCTGAACTCCCCCCCCCCCCAGGAGCAGCCGAGCTCCGGAGGAAGCCGGGCGGGAGCGGAAGCAGCTCAGGTTCCTGCGGTGACTCGTGCGGCACCGGGCACCCCGCGCCCCGCTTTGACGTCATTTCGGGTAGAGCAGACCTCGGGCTCCCCCCTTGCAGCCCCCGGCCCCCCCCACACCCCCGGCCCGTGCCAAATTTGGCAACGGGAAGAGCCAGCGGCTGCGGCAGGAGCAACACGGCGGCCTTGTAAGGCAATCGCTGCCGGGGGGGACACGCACACGCGTGTGCACGCAGGGACGAGCGCCAGCAGCCGCGCACGGAGAGAACACGCAAACAGTCCCGCTGTGGGTGCTCCCCTAGAGAACTCCCAGTCCATCCTTGGGGGGTCCCAACAGCTACTGCCTCCCCATGGGCTCGGCTCAGAGTTTGGGGGGTCCTGGGGGAGCAGTGGGTGCTGCAGGGTGTGAGCCGGGACAGGCCTGGCCCCGAAGCCATGGCACGGTTTCATGGCAAGGACGGACCAGGCACCCGCAGGAGGTGTCTGTGGCACGGCAGGAGACAAGCCAGGACACGGGGCGCCGCATCGAGCCACGCCACAGGGTGACATCACCGCGCCCAGGGCCCCCAGATGCTGCTGATAACGGGGGTGCTGGCGGTGGGCGAGGCTGGGCACAGCCCCTCTCACTGCCCAGCCCAGATCTGGGGTGGTTCACACCCCTGCACCCCCATCCTGGCTCCTCTCCCCACTGCCCTCAGCCCTGCTCGGCACCCAGCACTGCAGTCAGGCTGTGCTCATCCCAGTGCTCCCAGTATGGAGCAATCCACCGCACCAGCGTGGTGCCTGCCGTGGGGACAGCATGGGTGTCACCTGGCAGGTGTGTCCACGCACCCACGGCCTGTGGGTGGGGACAGCTGGACCGGGTGCCCCCCCCTTGTCCCTCTGCCCAGCCCTTGCCGCAGAGGGTGCGCCAGGAAACACCCACAGCTGCCGCGGCTCCCAGGGCTCCCGACACACCCGTGGGCCCCGCGCACGCCCACGGCGCCGGCCACGCCGCGGCCCCGCGGTGCTGGGCACACCCCGGCGCAGGCATGCTTGGGGTTGCACGTCAGTCCTTGCACTCCCAGCCCTTGCACACCCACCCGCTGCACCCTGCACCCCACGAGCACACCCGGCCTCCCCGCAGCGCCTGCCCGCGCTCCCCAGCCTGCAGACACGCGTGTGAACCCCGTGTGTGCCCATGAACCCCACGGCCGAGCGAGGTGTCTGTGCTTTGTATGCAGACCCCGGGTCCCATGGGACCCCCACGGCTGCCCCCAGCTCCCTCATGGTGTGGGGTACATCATGAAGCCCCACAGCCCCCTGGAATCCCTGCGGCTGCACCCGGCGCTGGCTGCGGGCGAGAGACGGGGCTGGCGCGGCGGTGCCAGACGCCGGGTGGGCGACGCGCTGCCGCGTGTCCCTGGCACGAGTTGGGAACACGGCGTCTGCCGCAGCGGGGTCCCGGGTGGGGGCGAGCCCAGGCCCCCGCGTGGGGCTGCAGGCGGTCCCCCCACCACCCGGCTGTGAGGCACCCGCCAAGGCTGGGGCACCCATGGGTGCTCTCTGAGTGTCACTGTGGGTGCAGACGCCCCTGAAAGGGCTGAGCCCCCACACCGGGCCCCGGTGCTGCTGTGGGGCCGGGCTGTGGGCAGGCAGTCCCGGTGTGGGGTGCAGAGGCGGCCGCGGGGGGGGGCCGGGAGCTGCCGGCGCTGGGATGGATCCTGGAATTAAAAACATTCCAGGAACTGACTTTGAACCAGATAAAATAACAAGCGCCGTGAGGAATGTCTCACCCCGCCCGCCGGCCGCGGCCCCACGGCGCTCCCCACAGCTTCTCACTGCCCCACACGTGTCCACGGGCCCTTGCACACGCGTGTGCATGCGGAGCTCGCAGCTGATGTGCACATGTGTGCAGCACAGCCCCGCTGCGGGGGCAGCCCCGGCCTGCCCAGGCTGCTGGGGGGTCTCCAAAAAAAAACCCTAAACACCCCGGCTGCTGCGAGGGGCTGCAGCACCCCTGGGCTGGGCTGTGCGGGTGTGCAGTGTGTGTGCAGTGCACGCAACACGTGTGGAACGCAGCCGGACACGCGCGGCTGTTGTGTGCACAGCAATCCCCTCGGCCCGGCCCCGGCTCATCGTGGTGCAGAGGCTCCCCCCGTGTCCCCGCCAACCCCGGGGCCTCCCCGGCTCCCCCAGCCTGGCCGGCAGCCGCAGCCAGTGGAGCCCGGCGTGCATGGCCGGTGACATCACGGGGGCGGCGGGGCCGGGGGCGCGGCGCCAGCCCATCCCCCCCGACCCCCACCCGCCGGGACCGAGGTCGCAGAGGGGACGGAGCAGCAGCAGGAGTTGCTCTGGGAATCGGTACTGGTCACACGAGGCGTCCCAGCCTGGCTGCCTGCCCTTGGCAGCAACAAAGACCCCAAATCTCCCTTCTCCCCTCCTTTTGGGGAACCCCCTAAAAGCTCAGTTCTCAGCTAAGCTGTTGTGGGAGGGGGCACCGGCTCAGATCCCCCTCCCCCCGGCATTGGCATCCACAGAGGATGGCGTTTAAATGGCCCCGGTGACCCTGGCATGGTTGAGGGGTCACCCCTGTGTGACCCCGACCCCACAGCCTGTGCCGTGGGGGTCTCGACCCCACACCATGGCCCCGGGCAGTGTGGCCAGGGCAAACACGGGGCTAGTGGGGACACGGGGCCAGAGGGCAGCGCCGGTGCGTCACCGTGTTTACGAGGACCTCGAGGAGCTCTCGTGACGTCCACGCTGGCCCTGCCAGCCCAGGCCGTGCCAGGTGGCACAGTGCCACCACCGCCGCGCTACCCCCCGGTCACCGCTCAGATTTTCGGGGCTGGCATGGGGCCACTTGGCCCCTGGGCCCCAGTGGCACGGAGGGCACGGAGCGGGATGTCCCCCCCCCCCGTCACAATGCACCGTGCGAGCGGCAGATGGGGCGTGCGCGGGGCTATTTATAGCAGCGGGACCCACAGGTAGCGACGGTGCGTCAGCG